GTTACGATTATCTATTTAAATATCCAAACCGAACCGAACCGAAAAGTAACTGAACCGAACCGAACCGAAATTCTTAAAATATCTGAATGGTTATTATATTACCATATCCAAACTAACCGAAACCGAACGTAACCGAACCGAAACCGAATGGTTAACCGAATGCCCAAGCCTAGACATTATCAAGGAAGGACAACGAAACTATTAAGCTTGCCAACCAAGGTTAATGTCAGTTTCCAAAAAGAGACGTTTCCAAAGATGCTTCAATGACTTCCTCCATCATTCTTTCAAATATACATTAGAGAGAGTCCCACGTGTTGCGTGGATTTATAATTTTATTAGTGAAATTTGATATGATTTGTACCTTACTTTAGATTGAGATATGCTTAGATGAATTATGAAATTGTTTATTAGTATTTTGTATCATTTAAAGTAAGTAGCTTTATATAGCTTCTAAGAAAAGATTTTTTTTTTTTTAGCTTCTAAGAAAAGATAATTGTTGTAAACTACTAATTGAATATGGTAAATCTTTTATAAATTGAATATAAGATTAGGATAAGAAATTTATTTGGCTTTGTAATATCAATTTTCGATTTTATCAATTAAAATAGTTATTTGAAAAAGTCAAAATAGTTATCTAACAAAACAAAAAACTTGAAATCAGTTATAGAGATAATCTCATTTTTATCCCTTAGAATGTGAAGTATGATTAAGTTTTACTATAGAGCTATGAAAAATCTATATATACATTTTTGGATGACTTTTAGCAAATAAATCCTGGAGTTGGAATGTATTTACAATGGAATGCCACTGGTGGGTCGGGTTTTTGTTTATTTTTTGACCCGAAATCGTTTTAAACGGATCTTCCTTTAATTTTGCACAAAAAAAAAGATATTAAATGATTGTTATTATATATTGATTACACGTTTTGAATTAAAGATCCATATTTTAAACAATTAGTTACTAACCAATTATTCCCCAAATCTCTCAATATTAACTCGACTATATTTTGAAAAATATCTCATCCGAGATCTCAAATCTCATTTAATTACTACCAACTTAACATTTACGATAATCCTACTAACCATATCTACAACAAGAGAATTAAAATCAATAAATTATTTACTCATCTCCAAGTAAAACATTAAATATATTCGCCGGATTAAAAATATTTGCTCTAATCTTTTGCAATAATCTCGCATCTTTCTTTTCAAAATTTCGATTATTTAATGTGATCCCCCTAATTACTCTCATCTAATTTGAATACTATTTTAAAAAAAAATTTAAACATTGTTAATTAAAGAAATAAAATATGACCCCGCGGTGTACCGCGGGTTAAATCCTAGTGTTTAGTTATAATTTACAAGCCTTTTCCTTTAAAATGTTTAACTAGATCATCATCCGTACTACAGTACTGGGTGAATTTCATTTATTACAAAATTTATAAATTTTATGTTTTAGAATAAAGTTGTGTATTTGAAAAAGTCAAAATAGTTATCTAACAAAACAAAAAACTTGAAATCAGTTATAGAGATAATCTCATTTTTATCCCTTAAAATGTGAAGTATGATTAAGTTTTACTATAGAGCCATGAAAAATGTTTAATTATAATTTACAAGCCTTTTCCTTTAAAATGTTTAACTAGATCATCATCTGTACTACAGTACGGGTTGAATTTCATTTATTACAAAATTTATAAATTTTATGTTTTAGAATAAAGTTGTGATATATTATAGTAGTAAGTGAAAAATAATATTTTTTTGTCAGTCCCTATATAAAATATTAGAATAAATATATTTTCCTTTTTCTATAGTATTCAATTATGGATATATTTTTAAAGATATGAAAACGGAAAATAAGATTATTTTAAAAAAACATTAATATTGTTTGAACAATGAGTTAATTATGTTAACAACCACAAAATGAGAGTGCATATAATTTAGTTAGATCTAAAATCAAAATATCATAAATGAATTGCATCTAAAACGTAGATTAATTTGAATTACTTAAGAAAATTAGCTATTATTTTGAATTAATTTAGGAAATTATTTTTTCAAATTCTGATTCATTGGTTGTTGAAATAGAGATTTGTTTGAGCTAATTACGGAATTTACCAATTATTCACATAATCAAATATGTTATGAACATATATTTGGTATATAATAATACCAAATTCAATCCGTGTGTGGAGTCTATATTTTCATTTTACAATCCGTATGAAAATATTACGGCACAATCTATTATTTATTATTTTCAAAATTGCTTGGAGAATCAAATTTTCAAATATTTAGAAGTGTCAAACCTTATTTAACTCATCTCATCATAAAATCTTAAAATGCCGTCTATTATAAGGATCATAACTTTGTACCATATAATACATTACATTTAACCTGCCGCCTACTATAAATATTTAAACATATCTTTTTAGAAAATCAAATTAATGTATTTATAATTTCTTTTATCTTTTTAATTTATTAAATATTTATGATATTCTTTAATATATTAAATTAAACTATTTTAAAATGTTCCAAATTAAAATCTTTAAAACTTTTATTGTATTATGTAAAATTATGAATTTAAAAAAAAAATGATATGAAATTAAATATAAATATTCAAATAGTTATAAGGATCATAACTCATTTCATCATATAATATATTATATTTAACCCGCCGCCTATTATAAATATTTGTTTCAAAAAATCAAAATAGAGTATTTCTACTTCATAAAATTTTGCTCTATTAAGTATTGATGATATTAAAAAAAAGGAATATATTACTCAAATATGAATTTTTGACCCGTTAAATTTGTTCTTTCATACATTGAATAATTTATATTAGTTTTTAAAAATTCAAATCTTGGTATATGCAGAAATTTTTTTACTTTTTTTTATTATATAGATGATATAATGATTTATTTATTTATAGAAATAGAATCATATAAAGATAAGAGGTGAAGTATAATGATTAATAACAAATTAATATGGTAAGTTAGATATCAAATCTTATATGTTCATTTTGATTGGTCATTCTTTTTAAAGAAATTAATAATAGATTTTAAATTTTTATAATTAAATTAAATTAATTAAATTGCATAAAATAGTATTTGACTTGTTTATCCTTAATTAGTTGAATTAATTTACTCTATAAAATTTTATTTCTAATGGCATTCTTAAGTAAATTTTTACAAAGGAGAAGGTTAATTAAGGGTAATCCATAAATTGTACTCCCCAAATAATAGTATAGTATCACTTTTTATAAGAAAATTTTGAACATTTAAACCAGAAATTAATGTCTAATTTTTTTTTTTTTTGTTATCCTAAATTAATGTCTAACTTACTTTCACATATATAGGTCAATAAGAAATTTTCAAGTAAAAATATAGTTTTGAATTGAAATATATTTATCCCTAAAATCCAAAACTTATTTGCATGCATTTACTTGCATGATTTGTTTCTCTGAACTAATTCTTTTTTATTCATGCACATGACTATATATTATTCTAATTAATTTTGTGATTACTTTTTTTTCCAAGGTGATGTTTCCAGAAAGTTAATAAGTGATATTGTTTAAGAGTAAATTAATTTAAAATATAAAGATTTCTGATATTTAATAAATATTGAAATATAAAATATTATTAGAAGACAATCCCAAAATAGGATAGGTATTGAAATATTTTATTGTAAATAATGTAATAAAAGCATATGTAAATGTTCTACTATAAAATGAGAATATATTTGATGTTATTTTTTACTTTAAATGATGAAGAAAAAATTCATAGGAAATTCTTATATAATTAAATCTATAATGATGTATTTGAGTCTAAAAAAATTAAGAACATTTTATGTCATTGATTAAAAAATTAATTAATTTCATTCATTATAATTTAAAGAAGATGACACATGCCAAAATTTTGAAGACATGTGTCAGCTTCTTAGAGCATGAATTTTGTGGAAACCTTACTTTATTATATAAGAGAAATTTAATAAGTGAAATTTTTTAAGTGTAAATTAATTAAAAATGTAAAGATTTCCTGATATTTAATAAATATTTTAAAGGGAGACTCACAAAAATGCCCTTTTTTCAATACCCCTTTTCAAAAATGCCCCCTTTGGCTGTCCATTTTTAAAAATATCCCTTTTTATGTACAAAATGACTAAATTACCCTTCTTTTATAAGGTTTTACAAGTTTTTTACAAGTTTTTTATAAGGTTTTACAAGTTTTTTACAAGTTATAAATTCCTTATAAAACTTTATAAGTACCTTGTAAAACCTTTTAAAATACATTGTAAAACCTTACAAAACACTTCTAAATACTTCGTAAAACCTTTAAAATACCTTGTAAATTTTTCCCGCCAAAAATTTTCCCGCCAAAAAAATTTCGCCAAAAAAATTGCGGAATCACTTTTCCCGCAAAAAAAAATTTTTGGCGGGAAAATTTTTTGGCGAGAAAAATTTTTACGGGAAAATTTTACAAGGTATTTTAAAGGTTTTTACAAGTGTTTTGGCGGGAAAATTACGGGATCACTTTTCCCGCCAAAAAATATTTTGTATTTTGTGGACCTAATTTTGTTTCAAATAAGGGTAAAATGGTCATTAAAAATTAAAAGTGGGCAAACTTAAAAATGGACTCTCAAAGGGGGCATTTTTGAAAAGGGGTATTGAAAAAGGGGCATTTTTAACAATTTCTCTATTTTAAATATGAAACTGTATTAGAAGACAATCCCAAAATAAGATAGTTATCAAAATAATTTATCGTAAATAATGTAGTAAAAGCATTTGTAAATATTATACTATAAAATAAGGATATATTTGATGTTAGTTTTTACTTTTAATGATGTCAAAGAAAATTATAGGAAAATCTTATATAATTAATTTTATAATGATGTATTTGAGTCTAAAAGAAAAACTAAATATGTTTTTATGCAATTGAATAAAAACTAATTAATTTCATTCATTAGAATTTAATTAAAAAGATGAAATATTTCAAAATTTTGGAAGACACATGTAAGCTTCTTAGAGCATGAATTTGGTTGAAACCTTATTTTATAATATAAGATTATCTGACATCTATTATGTATAGTAGCTCAAATTAACATAAAAACTCAACACTTAAGTTTTAAAACTCCAAACATGTCTTTCTTCACGCCCTTCTTTGCTTGCTTTGTCCCAAAATCTATTTCACGGGTTCACACAACCGACACTAACTTGAAAATCTTGTCTTTAAAGAAACCGAAAAGCAAGACCGAGTCCCTAAGAGCTCCTACAATCGTCATATCTTCCTTTCAAGTATGTTTCAACCTTTCCCGTATGTAGAAAAATAGGAAGATGAAAAGTTAGATTTGGTAGTGTGAGAAAACAATGACAGACGACAAAGAAAGGATATATATGTGGCTGCTGTTACTATTGATCCAGTCCAATTTTTATATGTTCTTTTTGTTCGTTTGATTTTGTAATAGACGACCAATCAAAGAATCTGTTTATGGTCAACAGTTTTGTGTATTGATTTTGTTTTGGATATTTAGTTAAATATTGAGTTAGTTTATTAGTAACATGTGCAATGGAAAAGTGTGCAAGTGGAGGGAGGCAAGTCGATCGAATATGATCCTCAGATAAAGTACCACAAGTTGTGTCCACAGTATCTTATCGTACATGTGGTCAAGTTACAATACAAACATTTAGTATATCGATGTGACAATTCAAAAATAATTTTATAAATAGACATTTAATATATGATTGTGTCGTTCCATACATAAAATCATCTAATATATTTTCACTAAAAAAAATCATCTAAGACAGATCTTAGTATACATGCAAATGAAAAATAAAAAGAGGATATATATATATATATATATATTAGATGATTTTATGTATACTAAATATTCATAAATTTATTCATAATAGAATATTTTGGGTCAAAAACTCAATATTCATAAATTTTAAACAGAAATAACACATAATACAATTTTTCCGTAACCGAGAGGATTCTAAGTGAATCCCAAACTTATTACAGGTTTTGTAATTAAAAAGTTAGGTTTTCTTACCCCTTATAGCATTAACAGTTATATCTCAAACATGATTAATATTGCAACGAAAGATTTTTTTTTTTTTTTGGTTTGTTGATAAAAAGTTTCGTAGTAAGAAGACTTGAACAAACTAACTTGATGAATCCTTCGACTACAAAACCACCACTAAACCATCATGAGTTGGTTATCTCTTTATATATTTACATATCTTCGTCTATATATATTTTTTTGATAAAGGCTTTTGTAATACGTTTCATCTATATATAAAGTTCTTCTATATATTTAACGAATAAATATATCTATTTGTTTTGTTCCTTTTTTTTTTGGCATTAGGACAAAAGATAAGACATTTTCAAATACTACTGTAGTTAAAATTTTGATCGAAGAATAGATCATTGTGGATCCCTGGAGTCTTCTAGCCAAATTAGATGGATAGTCAAAACTTCTTGAGTTTCACGTATACGAAGATTTGTTAAAAAAATACCTTTCTCGGCCTTTTGGCTAAGATCAAGTGTAGTATCTGTTCTTATCAGTTTAATATCTGATATGTGGGTCATCGGTTCACATGATATTAACTCTATTTTTTAAGGGAGAAAACCCACTAAGATAGCTTGCTATCTGGGCTTTCACGAGTCGCCCATGCGTTGCACTACTGCACGGGCCTGGCTCATCCCATTTAAAAAAAAAAAAAAAAAAAAAAAAAAAAAAAAAAAAGATTTGTTAAAAAAACATATTTAACACGGACCAAAACTATATTAAGCTTGGCCACCAAGGTAGATGTCACTTTCCAAAAAAAGAGACGTGTACTAATAACATTCAGTTACTTCCTTCACCATCCCTTTATATATATACACATTATCTGATATGTATAGTAGCTCAAATTAACAGAAAAACTCACACTTAAGTTTTAAGATTCCAAACATGTCTTTCTTCACGCCCTTCTTCACGCCCTTCTTCGTTTGTTTTGTCCCTAAATCTAATTCACGGGTTAACACAACTGACAGTTCCTTGAAAATATTGTCTTTAAAGAAACCAAAAACAAAACTGAGTCTCCAAGAGCTCCCACGATCGTCGTTTCTTATTTTCCAGTAGGCTCCAACCTTTCCCTTCTGTAGAAAATACGAAGATGAAAGTTAGCTTTTGTAGAGTGAAAAGGCAATGACACGACCAAGAAAAGATATGAGGCTGATACTATTCATTCAGTCCAATTTTATTAGTGTCCATTCTTTTCGTTTGATTATGTAATCGATCAATCAGATAATCTGCTTGTGGTCGACACTTTTTATATTGACTAGATGAATACCCACGCTACGCGTGAGTTTGTTTTGAAAATTGTGAAGAAAAAATTATTGATTGTTCTTGCTAATTTATGTTTATTTTTTATTTGTTATTATGTAGTTAATAAAATTAAATCTATCTTATGTAGTTACAATTTTTAAGATTAGATCTATTTTTCGACTTGAAATATAACCCGAGAAAAAGATTTACTTGTCAGCTGAGACCTCTTGCTTGTTCCCGTAATATCCTTCATCGTCCTCATGGCTCTGCTAGTTGGTCAGAAGGTACTTTATCAGCTTTCTCAATATCTATTATGGGTACAAAGTTTTTTTTATCCTTTTTGAATGGGATTCATTGAACTCTCTCGTTTATATTTTCAGGGGATACAAAAGTTCTAGCTGCACAATACGGACCTAAAGCAGGAACGAAGAAGAACGAAAATGCTGAGAAGGCTTGTTTTGAAGTCATATGGAAGCCTTAAACCGGATAGATTGGTAATCGTAAATGCGTTTAGTTTTTCAGAAGGAAGCTTGTTTTGTTGCTTGAGTATGTCGTACAGGTGATTTTTGGTTTTTAGATCTGAATAACTTTTGCTTTGAATATTGATAGGAAAAGTTGAAAGGGAGTATGAAACGATACTGAAAAGGACGATACAGAGTATTTGTGTTTTGACAGTTGTTCTAAATACCACCACCTCAGTGATAATTCAGGTGAGTAGCTATTCAATGTTGTGTATATCGATATTGTCAACTTGAGTTGTATAGTATCTGCTGTTTTCATTTTGTAATTCCCGTGTAGGTTGTACATGATGGTGGTTCTGTATCGTTTTTATGTTCCTTGCACCTGGTAAACATTTACTGATCGATGTTGTCTGAAACACATATAATCCGGTATAAACAATGTCTGTTTGAGTATTTATAGAGTTTATAGTAGTGAAAGTTTGTAATCCCATAAGTTGAGAGTGTGAATATGTTTTTGTGTAACTTCTACCGTGGCCTCCATTATGGCAGTTAGAAGGTAGAAAATGTTTGTTCTAAAGAAATATGATGTACAGAAAGGGAGACTATGAAGGATGGAATTTAGGAAGTCGAGAAATTTGCCTTGAGATTCTTCTTCTTTCATATTGAACGATTGAGCAGAGAGTGGGAGAGATTTATTTTCTTAAAGTCTTGTGGGGAATTAGAATATTTGTTGGGTTAGAAGTAGGTCTGGGCATAAAATCCAAAATCCGAAACCGATCTGAAACCGATCCGGAAAATCCGGCTCCGAATCCAAACCGAATAGCACAAAACCCGAACGGATAATGAATTTTCTTATCCGAATTATCCAAACCGAACCCGATCCGAACCGAAAACCGAAAATAAAATTATATATCCAAAAATATTAGTTATATTTAGCTATAATTTTATAACAAATAACAAAATATCCTAAATAACCTAGATATCGGAAAATTTTTAGTTATATTTTTTTAAAATTATACATATTTTTGGAGAACTTAGCCAAATTTTAGTAAGATTAAAACTATTTTTTTATTTAAATTGAACATTTTTTTAGTTTTTTTTTCCTCGCAAACCGATCCAAAATTAATCCAAAACCGATCCGAATCCGGCACTATCCGAACCGAATCTGATCCGAATAGTCATAAAATCCGAACGGATAATAAAATCTCCTACCCGAATTATCCGAATCCAAATAAATCCGAACCGAAATCCGAATGCCCATGCCTAGTTAGAAGCATTAAACCATCACTGAAATGGGCTCGACCCATAAATATTGCAATCTAATAGATTCTAAAACACATATGGTCCATCCGTCATGGGCTATTTTGTTTATTCCATTTGACATTTATAATTAGAAGCTGATGTGTATTAATGAAATGTTTTGATTGGACGAATAAAAAGCTGATGTGTCATCTCCAGAAGAGCCAAAAATGCTGACGTGGCGGAAAGATGAAGAGAGATAGCCTCCTTTCATATATATGATTTTTGTTTTGCGTAATTATGTATATATCGAATTAGTTGATTAATTATTTGCAACTTGTGCGTTGGCAAATGTACCTTTCTTTTTTTTTTCCAGCAAAATATTAGAGGGAAACGGGTGAAGAATTACAAAATGAATATTTAGTTATATTGATGTGCCTGATTCAAACATAACTAGATTTTGTACCCGCACATTGCGCAGAATTTTAATCTAAAATCTCTTCTATTAATATACTTTTTAAGCATAAAATATACTCATTAAAAATTTTTTAAAAATTTTGAGCATAAATGTAACAATTCAAAATTTAAAAGATAAATCTATATAAATACTAAACTTATTTTACGAAGCGATATACAACATATATATTATCGACGATAATGTTTCTTTGACAAATAAATGATTTGAAATAGATCACATGTTAAAAAAATTCACTTAAGAAATTTGCGGGAAAATAAACGGTGTCGAAGACCGTCTAATGATCATTTATCTCTAAACGAGTTTCTTTCTTATTCATATTCCACGAAGATATTTCTGTAAAAGGTTTGACGTTAATTATCGATTGTTGCCCTAATTGTAGATATTATTTATGATTAAATGTTGATATGAACATAACATCATTCTATATGAAATGCGAATATACCGAATTTCATAAACATTATATAGTGTAAAAGTACATCTATAATACCATGTTGCTAGAACAGCTTTAGCGAAATTGTTTACCCATCAAAGCAAGTGCAACATACCATAAGAGAATTCTCGACTAAGTCATCAATATGCTTATCTTATCTCACTTTCCATGATTACATTGCCAAACGGTTAAGCCCAACTTTGAATCTAACAATATGTTCAATATATTTTTCTAAAACTCATTCGTTTCACACAATGAATGAGATCTCAAAGAATTTACCTTAGTCATGTGCATTATCTCTCTAAAGTTTAGAAATTTATTTTTAAACACTTTTAACTACCAATTTTTTGTCATCTTCTATGATGCAATCGTTGCCTCTCAACATCTACTTTCTTTTCGCCTTTTGTTGACTCACATATCATATATTGGACTGTGAATTCAAGACATATCATGACTATTTTTTTCTTAATTAGTATCTTTCAATACTCAATTTTTTGGGTTAAAAGCATTTGACTAAATAGCTGAAATATATGCTATACAAATTACATATTACTTTTTCAATAGTTTACATATCATTTTTTTTGTATATTTTGTTGTAGAACTCATAAATAATGTGATCATCACTACAAGAAAACAAGCTTTTTGAGACTCTTTTTTGTGACTCTTTTTTTAGTCGCAAATATTTGCGACGCTTTTGTTACACTTAAGTGACTCATTAACGACTACGACATAAATAGACGCATATTCGTTGCTAATATACGACGCCATAGTATAGTCTGAGAACGGTCATAAATACGCGACCCTTTTACGATACTTTTGCAACCCAAACGACATCCAATTTTTTTTGTCTGAAATATCTTAATCGTCACAAAAGAGTCGTACATTTACAACTAATTTGCCTCTCTTTAGAGACATGTTCTGTTTTTAAAATTGTAATTTGATAAAATAGAATGTGTAATATGTTAAGTAACCATATTTTGCAATGCTTATAACTAATACATTGAAATATTAGTTGTTAATGTTTTAATTTTTCATGTTTATAACTAAATCTTTGTAACAACCTATCATGTATAAAATGTTACATATACTTTTAAAAGAGAATGATCTTAATCTATGTAAGTTTGAAAATAAACTTACCAAATCATTGTTTTATCACATAAATTGAAAGATACACTTCACAAATGGACTATGGAGTGATATATAATACTTATACTAATGTATTTTGATCTTAATGTTTAGAAATCATAAATATTGGTTTGTGACTCATACACGACCGTCGCAAAAGTGTGTCTCTTTGCGATTACTTTGCCACTGCCTAGTGTTACAACGAATGTGCTACTCTTTTGTGACTACTTTGTTACGCATTTTACCTCGATTAAACGACTTATCTAACAAATCTAAAATAATGCCTAGTGACTCATGCAAGTAGTCACAAAAGTGTCACTTTATTGCGATTCTAGTGCTACTCTATAATTATTTTGCGACTACTTGTGCAGCTAGATTGCGACCGACTTGGGACCGGTTTGTGATTTTTACCAAAATTTAGGGTTTTCGATTAGGCGGCAATTAATCCCTCGTTTTTTTTTAGGTGCGACTAATTTGACACGGCTTTGCGACTCTTTTTCTTTTATGTCTACCACTGAAAAGTCAAAACCCAAACACTCCGCATCTTCTTCGATTTCTCCACATCTTCTTCGTTCTCTCTCTTCCACTCTCTTCGATTCTTCCTCTTTCTTCCTCTTTTCTCTTCGATTCTTCCTCTCTTCGATTCGATTACTCTTCACTTCGAGACTGATTTCTTCTCGAAGATTCTTCCTCTATTTTCTCCGGTTCTTCTTCGATTCTTCCTCTCGTCTTCGATTCGTTTCTCACTCATTTCTCTCTCTGTTCTCTCTGTAATGGCGCCTGTTGGAAAGGGTAAAGCAAGTAGAGGCCGTGGTGGAGGCCGTGGTGGGAGATCCGGTGTTCGAGTTTTTAATGGTAAAAACCCTAGCCGTGGCGTCGGATCGTCATCTCACGCCTCCAATCCTTCGTCTTCGAACGCAACAGCTTCGGCTAGTCAAACATCTAGGGCAACTACTCCAGCTCAATATCCGCCGTCGTCACAACCACCACCTCCTCCTCGTCTTTCATCACCGCAAGTTAGTGGTCAACCTCCTAATTATCAACAGCCGCCTCTCAATTATCAGCAGCCGCCTCCTAACTATCAGCCGTCGCCTCCTAACTATCAGCCGCCGCCTCCTTATCAACCGCCGGGTCCTTATCAACCGCCGGGTCCTTATCAGGTATGATTGATTACAAACATACTTACCTGAAATACAATCTTCCGACACTTAGGGTTTGTTCTAATAAATCTTTTTATTAGATTCCTCAGGACCAAATCCATCCTCATCAGATTCCCCAACCTCAAATGTCTTCTCAGGAAAACCCTAATGATCCACCGCCTGACTACCAGCAGATGTTAGAGAATTTGTTGGTTTTGCCTGGCCGAGAGCATCTTCCACGTCTAAGTAGAGTACCAATTCCAGACGTTGAGACTATATGGTATAAATCGTGTCTGTTTTGTTAAGTGTTTATACCATAAATGGATTAGGTTAATGTTTAGCTTAGTGTTTTTCATTGATTAGGTTAATGTTCTAGCTTGATTATCTGTTAGATCACTTGTTGGTTTTTACTAATGTCTGTTTTGTCTAAGTAAGTGTTTGTTTTGTTATCTAAACCGTCTTACATTGATTATGTTAATGTTCTAGCTTGATTATCTGTTTTGATCACTTGTTACATTGTCTGTTCTAGCTTGATAATTTGTTTTGATGTTATGTTAATGTTTAGCTTAATGTTTTTCATTACATTGGTTCTCATTTGTTTTTGTTGTAGCTTGATAATCATAAATTGAGGCTATTAGATTAATGTTCTAGCTTGATAATCATAAATTGGTTCTCATGTGTCTGTTTAGATCACTTGTGCATTGTCTATTAGAGTTATGTCTAATGTCTGTTTTTACCTATAGGTTTGGCCGAGACAAAGGAGTACTGTCTAGGAGTATTGCTGGAATATTTCGGGGAAAATTTGATGGACCTTACTATAGTTGGAAAGTGACTCCTACAGCCATTCAAGAGCGATATTTCAGATCATTTGCGGTAATGTTTGATATTCCTTTGAATGCTTAATAGTATATGTTGAAATGAATCAGTATGAGTCATATACTAATCTGTGTAGGGGAAGTTCAATTGGGATATCGGGATTACCGAGCTAGTCAGAGAAGGATTCTTGGTCATCGCCAAGAAAAGGCTTAAAGGAATTGTTAGTGGAGCGAGGAGAACTGGTATACAACCCTTTTGGATTACCAGTAATGACCTGTGGGCACAGATGTGTGCTTATTGGAAAACTGAGGAAGCAATGGAGCGGAGTGAAAGTGCATCACAGTGCAGAAACAGTGATCGTAATGGTCTTGGAGTCCACAAACACGTATCAGGGCAAAAATCATTCATGCAAGTTCACCAAGAGCTGGTATGAATCTATATAACCTTTCTTTGTTTTTAAATATTGCACTTAGATCACTATATGTTGTTACCTCTGTTCTGTGATTTTAATGATGTCTTTGTATCATTATAGGAGGAAGAATTGGGGCGTCCTGTGTCATATGGAGAAGTGTTTATGCAAGCACACACAAGAGCAGATGGTACTTTTGTGGATGCTAAAGCCAAACAAGTAGCTGAGGTCTATAATAAGAGCATAGAAGAGAGACTGTCTGAACTGGATGAAGATGGTGTAGACGCTTCAGATGATTCCTCTCAGCAGTCAACTCACCGGACTCTCACCATTGAAGAAAAGAATGAACTCTTTCTTAAGGTAATTTCGTGTAAGTTTTTGTTTAGAGTTTGCATATCATCATCACTGTTTGGTAATCATATATAGAATCAGTCCATGTTTTATGATTAATACTTGAATGATTCTGTTTTTGATGAACAATACTTGAATGACTCTATTTGCTAATACTTGAATACTTGACTGATTCTATTTTAGCTTGAGCATGATTCTGTTTTTTTTTTCTTAAGTGTACTGAAACAGATGTGAAGGGGAACTATTTTGGCATTGGATCTCTTAAGGTGACCCTTAAGAAAGGGAAAAGAAAAGAAAGCTATGCCAGCAGCTCTTCTTCCTCCATTACTGAGCTTCATGATCAACTTCGTCAAAAGATGGCTGAGCACGACACAGAGAATGCTCGACGTGATGCGGAGCAACAAGCATCTCAAACTCGGATTGCAAACTTGGAAAGGCTGGTAATGTATTGGAAAGAGAGTGATCCTGCAGCTTTTGTTGCATCTCAGCCACAACCAACTGCTCCAGCCACCACAGCAGCTGCCAATGCAACAGCCACCGCCAATGTACCAGCCACAGCCGCCACTGCACCAGCCACAGCCGCCACTGCACAAAACAACGCAGAAGAAATGGCTGGAGAAACCAATCCAGCCACTGCACCAACAGGAACCGTCGCAGCCACAACGACACCTTCTCCATCCTTCTAAGTACTTTTGTTCTTTCTCTTATGAACATGATGGATCTTTTGAATGTATAAAGTTATGTGTAAGGCTTTTGATTAGCAACATTAAGGATTTAAATTAGCAACATTTTGGATGTATTTGAATTCGGAATATTTGTTTTTAGAATCCAAATTTATGCTTATTTGCGACTAATTAATAGTCTCTCAAACCCAAATTCGACTCAATTCTACGACTGTAATGTTTGTCAGTAATTAGTCGCTAACTACTAGGCGTAGCTAAGACGTCGTAAATATACGACTCCTAATTTCCGTCTCTATATCGTCGCTTATATGCGACAACATATATCAGTCTCTATACCGTCACAAATATGCGACGCTAGTGCGACCAATTTATTTAGCGACCGTTTTTTAGCGACCAACTTTTTCAGTCGCAAAGAAGTCGCAAACAACGATTAGCGACCGTTTAAGGACTCTTTTGGGAGTCGCAAAAGGCATGTTTTCTTGTAGTGCATTGATTATTTATTTTGTAAAGATGGATGATAATGTTTTAAAATTTTCAAGATATTTTTCACAAGTTTACAAGATAAAGTGTGAATCTTACAATATCTTCGTCTTAAATAATAAATTTAAGTTGAGTTTAATAATTTTTTATTTTTTATTAAGTAAAACTTTAATAAGAAATAAAAATATGTAGTATATTGTTCTTAGAAACTAATGTTTTACTATCAAATTTTATTTTTTTGTTTAAAATTTTTCATATAGAATTACACAAATTTAGTTTTATTCTACCATGAGTTTAAAATTTACTTTCATTCTAAAACTCATTAACACATTTAAAATTTTGAAGTATGATCATTTTTAATTTTTATCTGTTAAAAATTACATTATTACCAGTAATAAAATTTTTATAGTATTCTTTTTATTATTTTAACATTTCATTTATTTTATATAATTCATTTTTTATTTATTATTTCTTTTTTATTAATCATATTAATATAAATATGCATTAAATAAATGTTTGAAATTTATTTTAATGTAAAATAAATAGTGTTGCTTAGGTGGATGCTTAGGTGGATATGTTAGATGGAAAGAAGACTCTCCTATTATATATATATATATATATATATATATAGATTTTACAAATGGATATTTAATATATAGTTGTGCCGATTCATACATAAAATCATAAACTAATTCTCCCTCGGTTCGTAACTAGATTAATGTTTTAGGGTGTTTTTCTTGTTCTATTTTGTATCAATATCATTATTATTTTTACTTGTGACCAACAAAGAAGAGAGAAAAGTAAGGTCTTGTATGTTTAGTAATTTTTGTAATGATTTTTGTTTTTTTTTTTTTATTTAAAAACTACCTTTTCACCCATTCAAGATTTTTAGAAATTGGTTTTCCTCAAAAATAAGAAATCTAGTTTTTGGAGGATGTAAACCATTTTAAAAGACAATCTAAAAACCATCTTATTTGAGTTTTTTTTTTACTTTTCCTAAGAAATTCTTCACGTAAGATTTTTTTCCCATTTTTTTATATTTACAAAACCAAAATCCAAAAACCAAAATCTAAAATCCAAAAACAAAAAACTATAATCTAAAAACTCCTTAAAACACACAACCATTCATAGCCTAAAATTGATATTATTAAAATAACAAAAATAATAATAAATGTACAATTTTTTTTAGTTAATTTATATGAAAAAACTAAAACATCATTTTTTTAGAAATAGATAGAGTTTTGAGTAAACATTTATATGTTGATTCTAACGATGTTATTTTAACTGGTAAGATCTTGATTCATCTGTCACGTCAGAGTTATTTGTCACATGAGAGTTAGCTGCCACATCAATTAAATTTCTGTTTCTTTTAAATAATTTTTTTTTACTTTAGTCACCTCTTTTTGGTTTCGATTTATAAAATTTCTTATGACATAAATACTATATAGAATAATTATTTTCGTCATATTGTTTTCATGTTTTAGATATGTGTATTTAGATTGATACTAACAATTCTTGTATTCTGATAGCAAAGTTATTAGAGGTGTTGTCATAATATATCATATATGCTACGTAGATAGATATATGGGGTATTACGACTACAAGCCCAAACTCTGAAATTGGAACATGCTTTATGAACATCAAAAACATCTGCTGACTTCGTGAAAATATTGAAGAGAAATCAATAAGAAATAAGGATTAGACGATTCACTTTAGATGATTGTCAGATTAGGTCTTGAGAAGAATCGGTAGGAAAAAAGTTGACTCATTAAAATGTATATGAATATATATGTTTTTTTCCTCTGAAATCAATAAGTCAACAAAAATTAACAATATGAAGATATTTATAAGACCATTGGCATCATACTTTAAATTAGTTTCCAAAATTTATACTATAAATAAATCTAAAAATAAATTAGTAACTAATAGTTAAAATATTTTCAACAAAAGTTCAAATATTATAAATATTTTTAACTTGCTAAAAAAATATTCACGGATCATGTGATCACATGGAGAAGGTTAGAGTTTACATATATACGATTATGTATATAGGTTTTTACGAGTTTATCTACTAAGACACACAAAATATATTAGTCCGATATAAAACGACTTAAATGAAAGGTATTACACTAATAATAATCCTCCTCATCACACTAATACTCAAAATTGAAAACTGTATTAATCTTTTTATAGTATGGTCAAAAAAAATTTCTAAAATTACATTGTGCATAACAATTACAATTAGTAATTTATGATAATCAAATTTCATGCAATAGAAATTTCATTTTGACTACAACAAACAAACAGCCATGTCTATATTCATGCATGTAAACCTTTATTTTATTCAAAATATAAAAAAAAGAGAAATCTCCCAAAATAGCACTAAAACAAGTTTTATGGATAATTATAGCACACATTCAATAAACTTTCAAAAATAGCGTTAGTTGACTCACTATTAAGTTTTTGTTTCAATAGGATTATCACTAGTTTACTTTTTTCAATAATACCACAATTTTTATATAGAAACTATTCAACCAAAATAAATTCTAAATAATATATTTGGGTTCTCTATTTTCAATTTAGGGTAAATATTTCTACCATTTGAAAGAGATATTGATTCATTTTAATACTAAATTTGTGTTATTATGTTTGAGTTCCTTATTTCTAATGTAGGGTATATATTTCTACCAATTAAAAGAGATTTTGATAAATTTTAATATTAGTTTGTGGTATTATATTTGGGTTCCCTATTTCCAATTTAGGGTATATATTTCTACTATTTAAAAGAAATTATGATTTAATTTAATATTAGGTTATTGTTTTCTCTCATTTGCTATTTAGTTAAAGTTTAGAGTGCTATTTGTGGAATTTTAGAAATATTATGCTAATTTTTTTATAAAAAAAAAAACTATTTTGGTGCTATTTTTGTCAATTGCCCAAAAAAAATCTACAAATTGAAATCGTGTAATGTTAATAATAAACTTATAAAACACTAAATATATAACATCATTAAATATAAAATAAAAACTATCTCGCTGGTTAAATCCTACTATCCTAGTACACTGTTAAAGTAAAACAGAATTTATTGTGCATGCTTTGATAGTTAAAAATACAATTCAGTTTCAATTATATCGGTTCAACTAGGGAATGACCCGCGGTACACCGCAGGACGAATTGTTTTCCAAAATTTGTAATTTTTGAAAATTTTATGATTATGTATTATATATAAAAAAATTCAAATTGTATCATTTTAAAGACATTTATATTTTATAGTTTATAATTGCTATTAAGTAAACGTATACCACGAGACAAATTTTATTTTATACAATCTTAACTAAATCAGCTTGATTCGATATGACTAATATTGGTGGTGTTAAAAACAACAAAATGAAGATTTAATCCGTATTGAAACTGCACGTTAATGATATTTTATATTTCTATTAATGTTGATTCAAACCCGTCCTGTCATATAACCCCGTCCTGCAATATAATTCGTCCCATGTTATTTTAATTTTTCTATGTTCAAATTTTATAATATTGTAATTTTATATTTCTATTAATGTTGATTCAAACCCGTCCTTTCATATAACCCTGTCTTGCAATATAATTCGTCCCATGTTATTTTAATTTTTCTATATTCAAATTTTATAATATTGTAATTTTTTATTGATTTGAATATATCAATTATAATATTTAAAACTTTTTTAAAGTTTCATATTTATTATATCCGGTAAAATTAAATATTTCAACTAAAAAACCCGAATTAAACGGTATACAACCCTTTAAAATTGGATGCTTGTTAAGTTAAGCTTCATGTTTATTCGGATTTAGATTCATTTTTTTATTTATAATATGACTCTAAATCCTTGTTTAAATATTTTAGTCAATGTGAGACGTTAAACATATATTTTTTTCATTAATTGAGTAATATATGTTCGTTTTTTAAATTATGAATCACAATATATGCAGAGAACTTTATATATTATATAATGATTTATAAAAGTTATAAAACAAGTAAACAAAGATGATAAGGCAATCATAATTTTAAATCTTAACCAAATCGTCAATATATCTATATTATTAATTATGGAATATTATATGGATATTTAAGACAATATCCGACTGAAAGATTTCCGGGTTCTAGATATCAATTTTGATCTGACCCCCCAGTAGCATTTCTTGTAATACATTCTAACATAAGGATTTAGTTCAAAAATGTCTCCGAAAATTTATATATAGATACGAACCAAATCGGTTTATAAGAATATAACATTTAGGCTGATTTAATAAGAAAGCGATAATACAAGGTCCTTTCATGAAAAAAAAAAAAAAACGGTTGCAAGAGAGAAACGAAGAGCAAAAGTTAATGAATTGAATTGGGGATTTATGTAGCCAAGCCCTAAATAAAAAATCTTCAACTGCAGTGAAAGTGAAGAAAACAGTGAAGAAGAAGAAGAAGAAGAAGAAGATGGTGGTGATCTGAAAATCTCCGATTGATCTCACGATTTCAGATCTGATATGGTCTATACCATCTCCTCTCTCATTGTTTATACTAGTTCCAAGTTGGTGTGCTGATCTTGTTTTGTGGCGGTGTGTATTTACAGTCATCTAGAGGCGGAGGAGGAAGGGAGAGGATGATGAAGGAAGACGGCAGAGGAAGGAATCCGCCGTCGCGGCATCTTTGGGTTGGTAACCTTCCTCATGGGATACCGGAACGAGAATTAGCCGACCGGTTCTTAAGGTTTGGTGAATTGGAGAGCTTAGCATTTCAGCCTGGACGAAGCTATGCATTCGTTAATTTTAAACACAACGAAGATGCGTTTGCGGCTATCGAGTCGCTTCAAGGCTTCCCACTCTCTGGAAACCCACTTAGGATCGAGTTTGCTAAGGCGGTTAGTGTTGAAAACTCCTTACTTTCAATGCTTGCTTTGGTATATGTAGTCTTGATTTCTCTGTTCTTGTTGACGTAATTTGGGTTAGTTTCGAGTCTTGAGGTTGATTGGAGATGACATGGTTTACTTTAAGGCTTTATAGAATGAACTAACTTATTAGAATGCTTGGAAGTTATCAGTTAGTGTGTCTCCAATAGATGTCCAGTTATGCGATTACCTACACGCAATTTCGAATGTGTTGGAATTCCACAGTTACTGTTATAGTTCCATACGGTATTATTCTAAAACTGAATGATTGTTTAAGAAGAACTTTTATAGAAATTACTCAAAGAGTAAGGATGTTAGTTTTGATGTGTTTAGAAAGTCTCTTACCTTGTTCTGAATACATTGTTACTCGGAGGATACTTAACCGTTGTCTAAGTTCATAGAACTTAGCAAATGAGTAAAGCAAACAAAGCTCGTATCTCATTTGTGTCTCCACTTTATAGCCCTCACACTTTGCTATATTATAAATCAGGGAAACAAATATAGCAGGCTTTTTATTATTAAAGTAAGTTTCTTTCACATTAACTGTGAAAGTTCTGTAGTTACATTGATGATTATGTTTCGATATATGGAAACTTAGAATCATTCTCTATTAAACCATATTCGGGCCATCTTTATCATCAAAATATGCCTCCACATCAAAAGTATCCATTCCAGGCTTAACCGCACAAGCATTCACCTTTATCATTCAAAAATACAAGCATTCACCTTTATCATTCACAACACAAGCATTAACCTTTATCATTTACAACACAAGCATCCGACCATTACGTTGTGAAGCATTCAGAATGTTATTGAGAAATAATATGAACTTGGTAGTCGATCCCATGTTGGAGTTCTTTGTTCATTTGGTGAGAAATATGCTCTTAGCTCACTTGAGGTCAAGTGTGTTCCAGGAACATCAACATGTGTTGAAGGGAAGTGGACCAGTCTTCAACTAGATCGTACAACAAAGATAACAGAAAATTGTCATTAAGCTTTATGGCTCCTAGAGTTAATGTTTACATAACAAGTTTGGATGATTCCATATGCTTCAGCTTCAGGTCCACATTCATTCAAAACTAATTGACCCTAGTTAATAGAATTATGTTGGCATTACTCCACATGATGTAAGTTTGATTGCTTTGTTGTCTGACTTCAGTTGCCTATCAATACTTATGAAGATGAGTCATGAGTGACTTGATCATCTATATTATGTCTCCGAGTAACTTTTCCTACCTTCTTTATGTCATTATGAACTTAAAAGTTACAGAGGATAGAACTATTATTCAGCTAGTAGTTGTTACGTATTTTCTCCATAATATGTCAGTAACCCACCATGCGTTCGACGCCTTGTTAAAGTTCATTCCCATCTTTACCATGTTTCATAATATGCCTACTGTCCTATGCAACTTGTCAATGCCAAACAGACATATGCTTTTGAAATGGTTGCCTATTTATAGACATTGGATTAATTGATTAAAAGCAGAATTTGCTTCGTATGTACCAATCCAGCTTACTAGCCAATAAAATTGATCATTGCTGCCTTTGAGATTATACAAGAACTTGCAGGGCCAAATATCTTAAGCTTTCTGACTGTTCATGTTTATGACATGTTTAAGTTTTGCCATAATTGCATTGTGGTCATGTCTTAAATTCTCCATGGCTATTGATGATGTTTAAAATGGAGGAGCTAGATTCTCTTTTCTGTAATATGTTTAGGACTGGCCTATTGTCTGATACCTCAATATGTTACCTGCATATTGTAACTTACACATTGCAGGGATATTTTTAGCTCAAATTACTTACCATATACTGCTCTTCCTTCCTTAGAAAGACTTCTTGCTGATAACTAATACTCGAGAATTTCTTATACTTTTTCAGTGGTTAATAGTTTAAAGACTTGATATCTCCTGTATATGGTAGATTATTAATGCATAGTAGCTTTTAATAACTGTGACGCAGAAGCGTCTTATCTGTTGCACAGTGATTGTTACCTGGTGATGAAATTTCCCTCTGATTGGCTTTTCAGTTAGAGCCTATCGAATTTCCATCAACATTGTTAGCTTTTGTTAAATGTCTATTCTTATTGTTTGAACCATGCACTTCAACTTTTCTTTTAGCATCACATGCATTACAATGTTTTTCATTTTTTGTTCAATGTTTTGTTTTCTTGTTTAAATTGATATGAGTGATATGAAAGCTATCTTTTTAGCATAAAGTGTACTGGTAATTTCAGAAGACCATCAAACATCAATCCTATTTCAGGTTCTACCTTTGAACTTGCATTTCTTTCCATATTGCTAGTGGCGAAGGGTATTCTTCTTGTATGGGAAAAAGCTGTGTATCATGTCGGCTTTATCCTGGAGCATAATGGGTCGCTATAGAGAATAGTTTTACATAATTGCTATACAACCAATGCTAGCTATTCCTCTCAGTTACCTCTTTAAATGACTCAAAAACGAGTTGGCACTGAAGCTGATCATTTTTATTGGGGCCAATATGGCTATTCTAAAATTGAGAACCTTTTTATGCTTGATCATGCAGTGAAGTAGGCCGTTGGTTAATACTTCTATCTTTGTGATACTGTATATCGCAGGAAAAGTCATCAACTGGATCACGCACAGAAGATATATTTCGCCATGATGAACAGCGGTCTGCAGCAAGAGGGTCTTCTTTTGTCCAAAAGGACTCCAGGATGCTTTATGAGAGCCCAGACACATATAGCAAATCAAAAATGAATGATAGAAATGCAGAACCCAGTGAGGTACTATATATAGGGTTTCCGGCTTCGTTGAAAGTAGATGATGCGCTCTTGAGGAACGTCTTTTCTTCGTTTGGAGAAATAACCAAGGTCACGGTATTCCCCGGTCGCAGTTATGCATTTGTTCAATTCCGAAATCTGATGGCAGCTTGTAAGGCGAAAGAAACTCTTCAGGGAAAGTTGTTTGGCAATCCTCGAGTGCATATTTGTTTTGCAAAGAGTGAACCTTCCTCATCTAGCAGTGGAAGGGGTCCATCGAGTAGATCACTCTCTCCGCCTTACAGATCTGTTGATCGACTGGGATCTTCAGAAGGTTATCTTCAGGATAGAAATTATGGAAGCATCAGCAGAATTCCCAGTGTGAGGGAACCACATTACATAGCAGATAGGGATTTGGAAGATTCTGAAGATTACATGTTTGACAGGAAACGAGTCTCAAGGAACGATGGAGGTCCTGCATATGGAAGGTCGAGATCTACACATAGATTTCCTCAGGATATGCATGAATATCATGGTAGTCCTAGGGAAATGGGTTCGGCATTCCGTGATGATCCTCACAGATTCCAGTCAAGGAGTTCAGTGTATGAAGAGCCATGGGATTTACCCGAAGATGACTACTACTACCAGGAAACCAAGAGACTGAAGTCAAGATCCGTGCAGCCTGAGAGGCAGCTCCCAGGGCATCAGCTATCTGGTATAGAGCAAGAAAGACGCCCTTTTTCAAGGGCATCTGCTGATTTTTCCCCAAAAGATGCATTCGAGCGGAACTATGAGGCTGGACAGTTACGATACAAGCAAACAGTTGAGCAGCCGTTAAACCTGGCTATAAGGAACGGGGACAAGAGTAGCTTACGAGAACCACATGACGAGTTAATGGGAGGTTATGCTCTGCCATCAATTGTCCCTGAAAGAAAAAGGCACACCCCTGAACTGAATCGACCATCACTAAAGGACTGGAACTGGGAAGGGACTATTGCAAAGGGAGGGAATCCCATTTGTGGAGCTAAATGCTTTCCTGTGGGCAAAGTGATGGACATGATGCTGTAAGTAGCTTTAAGCCTTTATTTTTCTGTATTTCTTGTTTCGATTGGCCCTCTATATTTAGCTTGAAATCATTCAACCAAGTATAAGTCAAATCGTTTTGTGTATTGGTTTAAGGCTTCTGATGTGATCCATTGATTAAGTTTATGTTCTTTTTGTATGTTGTTTTTAGACTTCTGAAGAAATTCATTTTTAATGCAGGCCTGAGTATGTAGATTGCACGGCAAGAACTGGTTTAGACATGCTGGCCAAGCATTACTACCAATCATCTAAAGCATGGGTGGTTTTCTTTGTTCCTGGAAGTGATGCTGATATTGTGTTTTATAATGAGTTTATGCATTATCTGGAGGAGAAGCAACGTGCAGCTGTTTCTAAATTGGATGACACAACAACATTGTTCCTCGTGCCTCCATCTGATTTCTCCGAGAAAGTACTTAAAGTTCCTGGGAAACTAAGCATTTCTGGAGTTATTCTACGTTTAGAATGTGGTGGTTCTGGATCTGGGCCTGTCCAACAGCAAGGTGAGAGAAAAGATTCAGACTTGTTAACCTATTATGGTGAAACATCATATGCAGAAGCTAGCGGAGCTTTTCCTGATGTTGGAAACCCATGTATTCCGGGTCCAACAGCATTTTTGCGTAGTGCGGGTCGTGACGGTCAAAGTGCATCTATGGATCCATACATTGAGAGCAAGCATGATCAGTTAAGTCACAGGTATTCTGGATCGGACTGGCCGCCTCGTGATACCAACCCCAGAAGTTCACAGATGCAACCCTTCATAGATAAAAATACTGTTCAAGAACATAGCGGGTTTGTTCCTGTGAAGCAGCAAAATGCAGATCTTAGTCGTTATCATGATACGGATACTCCAGCCCCATCGGGGTTTCAGCCTGAACAGCTGACACATTTAGCTTCCTCGCTGCCCAGACAGCAAAAGCATGTACAGAACACTCCAAATCAGCCTGAGAGATATGCACCAGAAGGCCGAGCAAGTTTCAGCCATTTGCAACACGCGCAGACACCAAGCATACCTCAATTAGTATCTCCAGGAAATCAAAATGTACAGATACAAGGTAGCAATAGCCAACAAGAAGAAGAAACAGAGGCTAATCCACAGAAGCGTCTCCAAGCAACATTGCAGCTAGCAGCTGCACTTCTCCAGCAGATTCAACAAGCTAAACCGAGTTAAAGATGGCTTCGTAAAGAGATCGTTTCATGGTTTTAACTGTATTAATTGGGATGAGCCCTGGCCTGATCTACAGATTAACAAGTATGAGATCTTTACATTCTTTCTTGCTGGTCGATATAAAGAAGAAATAGTGCAGATGCAAGCGTTCACAATATCGAGATTCACATGCCGTAATACATATAGGCAAAATCTTTCCAGATTCAGATTTTAAAATGTAGCCTCCTCACTTATATCGTTTTACCTTTTGCATGAAACAAATATACTACGTTACGTTGAATAGTAATAATCAATTTTCTCACTTGTTCTGCTATTCATTATCGTATTATCGTTACAACATGACGCAATTCTGCTACTTCAGAACAGATTTGTACCCTAACTACCATATAAGCTCATCAGTGGGCACAATAAAAAGGGAAGAAAACTCAATCCAAAAGAAACCAAAAGCTGAAAGGCAAATTTGTTTATTTTCTACTCAAAAGTTCAAAACAAAAACATAGAAGGCGGAGATGTAAGAAAAAAACATATAAGGAGAATATAGGTCCGAGAAAAAATAAAAACATGTAAAATATAGTGAGACTCTACAAGTCTAGTACTGACAAAAAAATAACAACCCCTGAAATTGCTTTTGAAAAGCAGAGATCAACGGTTGAGATTTTGTCGTCAAGGTATCAATCGATTTTGACAGAGGAAAAGAGATAGTGGACGAAGTAAAAGGAGGTGAGGAAGCCAATGGTTCCAGTGGCGAGCATGATAGCAATTGCCATAAGCAGAGAGTAGCCAATGTAAAGCATAGCTGAGACGGGTCCACTCAGACTTTGTAGATCAAAGACCAAGTAGTTGATGGAGTAAGCGAAAACGTACAATGCGACTGAACCAGATGCATAGAAGGCTTTCCACCACCACCTCCAATCTTCAACGCAGAGATGCATATAGGTCAAGACCACTGATACTTCTGCACACACGACTACCAAAAGAAGCAGAACTATGAGTAAGAACCCAAATACGTAGTAGAATCTCCCTAACCATATGCTGGAGAAGATGAAGAACAGTTCTATGAACAGCGTTCCAAAAGGAAGGGTTCCTGCTCCAAGGACTAGAAGCCATGACGGGTATTTCCGTTCTGGTATTTCCCTTGGAATCTGGTTGGTTCTCACTGGAAACTGGATTGCTTCTGCTCGTGTGCCTAGGAATCCTCCAAACAGGGTGAGAGGAACCGAGATGCAGAACCAGAGAGCCAGGAGCTCAAAGTACAATGAGATTGGGATGGCTCCAGTACTGTTGCTGCTCCAGAGAAGGAAGTTCAACACTGTTAGTATAACAAAAGCAATACCCGGGAAGAAGCATGCTATGGACCAGGAAAGCGATCTCCATCCTTCTGAAGTTCCCTTGACGGTTCTCCAGAGCCGAACACCAGCGTACCCAGCAGCAATACCCAAGAAAAGATAGAGAATAATCATCCCGGTTAGTAGCATTCCTCTTGAAGCAGGCGACATGAATCCAAGTGCTGCAAAAACAATCGTGACAACAGCCATTCCTGTAATCCGAACCCCGTCTCCCACCATAATGCATAGAAGCTTTGACATTTCTGGTTCTCTGAACACATCTCCGACAACAAGTTTCCATCCAGAAAGCTCTTCATTCATCTGTGCCTGTGCTTCCTTGTCCAGTTCCTCATACTTTGTCAAATCCCTTCTCACTGTCCTTAGGAATATGACAAAAACTATACCGGCGAGAAAGAAGATCACCATAAGAGAGTTCAGAATAGAGAACCAATGAACACGAGCACCTTCCATTTTCAAATAGGCATCCCATCTGGATGGCCATCTTGTCTCACTCTTAACAAATTCAACTTCATAAGTGAAGGTTATCCTTTCATGTTCTTTAATGATCTGAGCTTTGTCAAGCTCCAACGGACAGTTAACTGAAGGAACAGGGTCATACATGTGAAGTTTCGTCATTTTTGCAGGATCATACTTAACACTGCAGGGAACAACCTCAAATCCAACAATCTCATAGCCCAGTGCCTTCTTTTTATCAGCTTCAGAGATCACACCCATACCTTCTTCACCGGTACCAATCACCTCCATGACATTGCCTTCATATTCATGAACCAAGACCTTAAACTTGAGGTGATTAATGATGTAATCATCATTGCTGTTTGGTGGCGAATACCCAACAGGATATCCAGTCCACTGGATAGTAACCCCATTTTGCTTAGCGAATCTCAAAGCAGGCAAGTTATCAAGAATCATATTCACTTGATACAACTCACGGGTTCTCTGTTTCAAGAGCTTGACCTCATGCTCATTGAGAGGACTGGTGGTGCATAAGTAGAGTGACTCGTTCGTTCTCATCCGAAACCTATAAGCAGAGTTATCAATCTGATCCCCCATGAGAAGCTCCCCAAGATTCTCAGCACTTTTCTTGATACCCTCAAGCGGTTTACAGTAAGGAAGACTATAGTAACTGAAAGGAAGCTCAGTTTCAATAGACGTCAAGGAATTGACTTTAGCAAAGATAGAGTCTCCATCTGAATATGTGTGCATATAACTCCCTGGTAAGTAAAACCCATTGCAAAGCTGACTAACAAACACCAGCAACACGAAAACTCGGTACACACCAAACATTGTCCCTTCCTGTATCAAATAAAAATAAAAACCTATCTCACGTTAGTAAATCCTTCCTATTGCAACAGATTCATTCACATTCTCACGAAGATATTGAAATCCAAAAAGAACCTAATGTTTATGCATGTAGATCAGATTTGTAGTAAGCAGATTCAGATCGGTGGATCAAAAGATCAGATCTAATTGATATAATTGGAACAACGATAATCGAATACCAAATCAATAAACGCGAAAGAAAAAGAAGATGCGAATCCAACAGATCTCGGAGTTTAGAGAGCAAACCTGAGACAGATCCAGGTATGGAGATCTACGACGGAGTCAGATCTAGAAGAGGTAGGAGAGGGACTTTGTGTTTCGAAATCGCTCTCTTGGTGAAGAAGAAGGTCACGCTGATAATCTCTCTCACTGCTTTGGTTGCTTAATGCGTTCGCAAAGAGAGCGAATAACGAAAATCAAGAAAATCGTGGGTGTGTTGGGTATTTATCTTCTGCGACGCGCTTACACTATAAGTCGGTGCAGTGGTCATCTAAGGTCTAGAATCTCTATAGTTATAGTAATAGTTAGAAAACTTTAAAAGAAATTAAGGCCAACGGACTCCTTTTTTGAAACAAAACAAAGTTTAAGACCATCTAATAATCCCTTATATATTAATTGAGAAGCATTTTAAAAAATTAACCTTACCCTTACGTGTTATTAACGAAAATGCCATGCTGACGTGTCGCGTTAACAGAGTTCCTCAACTCATTTAATTAATTTTCCATCCTATACTAGAATATTTACATCAATTTGCCATTGGTATTAATAACACTTATTTTACTCATTCATTAATCCAAAATTAAAATTAAAAAATGCACTTAACGTAGCAAGGCACTTAACATGTTCTTATTTCAATCAATTAAAACGAAATTATATTTAACATTTGCAGTTAAGAGTTACTAAGTTTTACAAGATGAAGCACCTAACATTTTCTGTATCGATTAACTTTACAACTATACATGTTTATCATATATACACGTTACATTTAAAAGGATGAATCAATTTTAAAATATTAATATCCACAAAATATCTAATATATGGAATCTAACAATATTTGATAATTGATTGGTAATTCAAATTCTTCCACCGATTATGGTACTTGCTAACTATAAGTTAATAACCGAATTTATAGTTACCTCAAAACTTTCATATATGGACTTATATATATTTACCATGTACTACTATATGTATCCTAACAAAAGAATATTAAGATATATTAGTTGACTTATCCAAAAAAAATCCTAACAAAAGATATATAAATATTAAGAAATTATGATTTAGAAAATATACATGTAAAAGAATAAATTTTGGAGATACTTTAAATGAAATATTGATTTTAAAACTTTAAAGAAGTAGAAAATGTAGGAATGATATTGTGAAATTAATGGAACCCATATTACTCCCACAATCTTTTAGTTTGATTTAGTTGATCAATAATAAGACATCTTTTTTTCAAGAGTCTACATGTAATCATATAATGAAGCGTTTTAGTTTTGATGTTTTATGAATGCGGTCACGAAACATAAAATATATGAATTTAATTGTGAAAAACACAAAAAGATATATGTGCCATAAATGATAATATTTCATCAATTCTTTATCCACATGGAAGATTTTTACCACGCTCAAATATTTTACGGGTGAAATCAAATTCTTATACAAAATATTTGCAAATTTGAATTGAACAAAAAACTTTATTATAAGTTTCGTTTTATATATACAAACGTATCTTAGATCCCATTAATAATTTTACCTATTATAGTTTTACTTGGATCGTTTTATCCCGCACATAGTGCGGGTTTTTATCTAGTTTGAGATTTTTAACAAAACGAGAAATGAGAGAACCTTTAACGGGACCAAATTACAATTTTTTTTTCTTAAATTAATTTCATTAATTTGAATAAGAGACTACAATGTTATTTATAAGATATACAAATACAATCAAATATATAATATTGTCAACAATATTTTAGAAAGCGTTAGGTGATAAACGGTAATATTAAGTGATTTGGACGTTTATGACTTAAACATTAAAAATATGATTTTATACATAAATTTATATAAAATATCTATTAGAAAAGTAAAAATATTAAACTGTAAACAATATTAAACAAACTATTTATTTAATTATATTAAACAATATTTACACGCTTATAATTATATGTATGGAGACAAACTTAGTTGGAAATTAAAAAAATACAGTAAAACAAGACCTAATTATAACTCAATTATTGTAAGTTATAATGCTTGGTTCATCTTAATCAGAACCCGTGATTTATCAAGCTTTTGAAAAATAAATATATCTAAGAACAGTACCTAGATGGATAATTAATCAACAAAAAATCAACACAAAATTTAGATGGAGAACTGTAAACGAATAAAACCTTAAGAAACGAATGAACAAATCAAATCCAGAGATGTAAAGGATTGCATAATCAAATATAGGTGTAAAGATACCACATATATTCTATGTCATACAAAGTTGATGGATCTTTTCAAAACAATTGAAACCGAGAACTAAAGCAAGTGAACGATCATGATGATGGAGGTGAGAAATGAGTGTGAGTGATGATGGATAAAGGTTTTATGTGTTGTGTGACATCTTGCTCTTTGTTTGGGCATAAGATCATGTATTTATAGTATTTTGAGTCTTCATAGTCAGCTTTATGGTTCCTCCAAGTTGCAAAAGAAGAATGTTGTCGTTTTGACCAAATGAGATGAAGAAAAGGTTAGCTATGGTTTTTTTAATTAATGTGTGGTTGACAAAAAAAAAGGGTTAGCTACGGTCAAAGGGTTGTATATGTGGTAAGAGGGTTGTTGGCCACAGTCATGTACCTTTTTCTGGGGACGATGATGCTTTGGTCGCATGTACATGTTTCCTGGTTGCAGTAGCAGGATAACTCTTCTAGCTTCATTTTTACATGTCAACAACTATATTAGATTGGCTCAAATAAGCCAATGTTGGGAAAAATTGTTTAAATACATGAAAAGATGTGGTTGGGTACGAACAGTTCGAACCAGTTTATCCGTTTGTACATTCGCATTTCGAGAAACTAAAGATAATGAGAATACGTCGAACTCTTCCTTGTCACTCTAAATTGCCTCTAGGTAGGTTGTGAACGCTGGCCACTCTTGCGGAGAAGACACCATCTTCACCAGGCATATCAGTCTGTAAGGAAAGCTACCTTTCTCTTGTCTTGGCCGATCATACATCTCATCGCCCAAATTAATGATTCGACCTCTGTGTGAAGTGAGGTTAAGCTTCTTCGAAGATTAGCAGCTCCCATATCTTGCGTTCCATCATTTGGGCTAAAACAAAACCATTCTAGCCCGGAAAATCGATCGCTCTCTTTCCAGGACCCATCTACAAAACACCGAAACCCATTCCCCGACTGCACTGGATCGTCAATTTTGGAGTGTGAGTGGGTATTCCCCCCGACTGAGTCTACAACGTCATCCATTATTTCCACCTGAGCTAACTACCAAGCTTGCTTTTCATTCTCTGCTAACCGTAAAATTTCAGAGAGACTTTGGTCCAAGTTATTAGACACTTTATCATTTATAGCTTTCCATAGATACCAAAGTATCCATGGAAACATATCTTTATAAACATTTGATGATATCCGCCAAAATAAATAATCCATGTTTGCATATAGTGAACCTGAAGGAAAAACTTCAGGGGCCGTTGGAATCTGTGATAAAGCCCATGTCTGGCGTGCAGGCGGACATTCAAAAAGGACATGATTAATTGTCTCTTCAAAGTCCCCACATCTGTCACAGCCTACATTGCAACTAACCCCACATTTCTGAAGGTTTAAAGTAACCAAAACACACCCATTTAATACCTGCCATATAAAATGCCTCAATTTAGGAGGACACTTTATCTTCCACGTAAATGATTTTAGTGGTTTAATATCTGGTCTGAATCCACATATAATAGAATCCTTTAGATTATCAAGACGGACTGTCTGATACCCTGATTTCACCGTATATTTACCATATTTTGTGAAATGCCATCCCATGACATCTGGGTTTGACAGCTTCCCCAGGGGGTTAGCATTAATCAACTGAACATCCTCCGGATCAACAATAGCGTTTAAACTATCTATGTTCCAGGAATTTGTTCTCGTATCGATAAGATTTTTAACTTGGAGTAAAGGTTCTGTAGATGAACCATTACTTTTTGCTGGTCTCGAGAATTGAGCTGGAATCTATGGGTCATTCCATACTGCAATGGACTCACCTGAACCAACTCTTTTAATTAGTCCTTTATTAACCAAATATCGAGCAGAAACAATACTTCTCCAGCCATAGGAGGGAGAGTATGATCGAATTGGATCCATTAGATCTGACTTTCTATAGTACCGTCCTTTGAAGACCTTCGCAAAGAGGGAATTAGGAACTCGTTTTGCAACGCTTTGTATGATTTTTGCTTTATGTTTTTGTAAAGAGTTTTGATAAAGACTAGGATATGACCCGCGGTACACCGCGGGTTAATTTTTTTTGTTACAAAATAATTTAAATTATAGGTTGTATTTGTTTTGGTAATATTGTTTGTTTTGTTTAGTGTTTAAAATTATATAATTGTATTTTAATTCTTAATTCTAGGATTTCACCCGTGATATACTGTCTCGTATTAATATAAATCCAAACCCGTCCCACCATATAACCCCGTCCGGTGAAATTAAATATCATTTTGTTATTTCTTTTTAATAGGACTTTATATTCGAGACATAATTCGAATCAATTTAAAAATTTGCTTTCAAATGGTTATCATAATATATAAGTTTATTTATAGAGGTTCAAATATTATATTAATATTATAGTTTTAATATCAAAGTTTATATTTATAAATTGATTATATTAATATCATAGTACTTTATATATTTATAAATAAATTATGCTAACATAGTACTTTATATTAATATATCAAGCAGGGAATTAGGAACTCGTTTGAAGACCTTTGCAAAGAGGGAATTAGGAACTCGTTTTGCAACGCTTTGTATGATTTTTGCTTTATGTTTTTGTAAAGAGTTTTGATAAAGATAACTTGGTTATATAATTTTTGTGTTTAATAATTACAATAACAAAAACTAACATTATCTAATTTCAATAGTAGAAGTTGTTACTATCAAATTTGTGAACTAAAAAAAAAAAAATTCGGCTATTTAAAACAAATAAAAAATTAATTTTAATAATTTAAGATATTATATGATAATTATGTTTGAGAAGACAATTAAATAACTTAACTTAAATTTCCCTCAAAGTCAAATTAACTTGTGCCCTTAAAACGGTAATTTTTCACAAAAGCACCTATACTACTATGTTGCATGGAAACTGCAACGGAAACGTGAAAGCGAAATGTTTCGGAAACGGGAAATGATTATTTTCTAAAATTAGGGATTGGAAACGTTTTGGAAACGTATACACATACATATATCTATACTAGTATTTTTGCAACACTTTGGTGACGGGTGGGTAAAAATGCTTCTGAGTTAATCGGATATCCGACCCGTTTTTTAAAATCCTTCACAAAACATTTGTTGGGTCGGGTTATATTTAACCCAACTCATACACCGGATATTCCATATTTAATAATTACATATTTAGAAGATTTAGATTTATGATTCTCCTATCATCTTTGTTTGATTTGTTTTTAATTGTTTTGAATCATCATATAATACATAAAGTAAAAAAAAAAGATCAATTTTTTTCTGTATATACTGTGATTCGAAATTTTAAAAACGGACATATATATCTAATTGACGAAAATGTGTGTTCAACGTTCTATATCGATTAAAATATTTAGACAATGATTCAGAATCATATCATAAATAAGATCAACATTAATAAAATAAATGAGTTTTTTGGCCGGACGGGTTTTTGAATCAACAATAATAAAAAGATTAAAATATCATTAATCCGCCGCTTCAATATGGATGAAATTCTTTTTTTTTAATACCATCAATATTAGACACATTAAATCAGTCTCATTTAGAAAAGATTGTATAAAACCGAAAATTGTCCCGTGGTATAATGTTACTTAATAACAATATTTATAAAATTTTAAATATCATTAACATGCCGCTTTAATACATATTAAATCTTCAGTTTATTAAAATATAAATATCTTAGAGAATGATATGATTTGTAACTTTTATATATAATAAATAATCATTAAATTTTAAAATAAAAATAAATCACGGGACGGGTTAAAAAATTACAGAACGAGTTATATTTTGGAAAGGATTTATATGGCGGACAAATTTGAATCAATATTTATACACCGCTTTAATACGGGTTAAATCCTCAGTTTATTAATAATTGTCTCGTGGACTCGTGGTATACCGTTACTTAATAACAATTGTAAACTATAATATAAATAAATATGTTATAAGGAGATACAATTAACAAAATATTTTTATACTAACTTTAAAATTAAATCATCCCGCGGTGTACCGCGGGTTAAAATCTAGTGTATATATACAACATTAACACAAAACTATAAAAAATGGTTTAATTAAACAATACAAGTCCAAAACATCAATATTAAATAGGCTAACTAAAATTCTAAAAGATAAAGATTAAGAAGTTCAAGTTCAAATATTTAATTTAGACCAATATTTTCATCATCATTTTCATTAGTTTCATCATAGATCATATATAAACTCAGATTCTTCCAAAATTAGTTATATGTATTATAAATTTTAATATCTTCAACTTTTATTTATTAAGTTTCCACAATCAATAAAAAAGATTTGTCGTGTTTCCATTTTGGAAACGTGAGTTTCCATCGTGTTTCTAAACATAGATTTTTAGGAAACCTGTTTCCGTGACGTTTTTTTATGTTTCTGAAGAGTTTTCGATTCGGAAACGGGAAACGAAGCTCGAAGAGAGTTTGCATGGATTCGGAAACGGGAAACGGAGCTCGAATAGAGTTTCCAATTCCATGGAACATAGCTATACTATCGCTTTCTTATCAAATCGGTCGAAATGTTATTTTTGTTTGCATTTATCCATCCAGATCCAGCAATAAATGTTATTTCCGTAAATTACAATATAAACCCTAAAGTTTTGATACCTAAAAGAAAGACCTTTTTTGAAATTTGAACAAACTAATAAACCTGATACCACCAATCGCGATCCCTTAGGTTTCCGTTGAAGTCGTGAGAATCGTCTGGCTTTGATCGGATACAACAGCAAGTATGAGTACTGTTCGTAAGAAAAGGGCTCGAATTTTATCCTCCGATTCGGTAATCTTCTTGCGTTCCTCTGTATACTTGACAAAGAATCGAAAATTCTCATCTTTTTGTTGTCAATTTTGATACTTTGGTTTTGTAATTGTTTTCTTTGATAACTTTACGCAGGACGACGTTGATCAAGGAAACCCTAAAACTCACGAGAATGGTAAAATTGGAGGAAAGACTCGAAATTTAGGGCAAAGTAAGGGAGGTGATACTGAGAGTGTTGTAAAGTCTAATACTTGTTTTGTGTGTGATGGGAAAGACAATTGGGTGTTGGTATGTTATGGAGAGGAATGTCCTATAGCTATTCATCAGAATTGTGCATGTGATGAACCTGATTTCGATGAATTCGCCAATTTTTATTGTCCTTACTGTTGGTATAAGCGTGTAGTTGTCAAGTGTTTGGAACTAGAAAAGAAGCTTATGGTGAGTGACAAGTCTAGGAAGGGATGTAGAGAGAGTCTAGGAGGAGTAGATTTGGGTTTTATTATGGAGAAAGAAGCTGGAGGTGTCCAGAATTTAGTGGAGGTTAATGTATCAGGAGGTAGAACTAGAACATTAGCAAGTGGTAATCTTACTGGGAATATAAGAGAAGGTGATGGATTAAACAGTAAATGCATGGTAATGGAGAAGAATCAGATAATGCAAGAAGTTGCGGCTCAGACTCATTCTCGGGGAAATTCTAAGGGTGATGATGCTGATGTGGATGAGGGAAGACAGCAGCGAGGAAGATTGAGTGAGATAAATCATGAAACTTTGGATGTGTGCAATGTTAATGCGGGTGAGGGAAGAAATAAGGCAAGAGGTAGTGAGAAGAAGCATGGAAAGGTACAAGCGCGCAATTCTGATGTAGGTGAGGAAAGAAAGCAGCAGAGAAGATGTGATGATATTAATCATGAAACAGCACAAGCGCACAGTTTTGTTGTGGGTGTCAAAACACGAGAGACGAGGAGATACAGTGAGAAGAACCAGCAAAACAAAATAGTTGCAGGAACTCATGAGCAGGCCGTCTTTATCAACGATAAAGGAACACAAGCTTGTGATTCTGATTTGGGTGAGGGAAGAAGTGGGCAAGAATATTTCCATGAGAACAACCAGCAAAAGAAAGTGTCATCTACTGAAAGATGTGAGCTCCCTAGGACCGATAAAAGAGTGTCACACGGTTGTGGATTAGGGGAGGGGAGAGATTGTGATGGGAGACATATTGAAAAGAACCAGCATACCGAAACTATTGAAACTGAAACTCTGGGGAAGGAAGTGTTTAAGGATATGAAGAAAAAGCGGGAACGAGGAGCGGAGAGAGATGGAGATGAGTTTTATTTCGCGGAGAATCAAGACAGACAGTACCAACCTGATATGAGAAACAATGATGTGGCCTTCAATAAGCAAGCGACTTGTTTCAGCACAGATGAACAAGAAGAGCGAAAGTCTGTATCGTCTATTTCATCTCCGGAGTCTATAAACAATGTTAAGGACCCTAATGTAGCTTCTCAAGAGTTAGCTTTGATCATCCACCCTAAGGCTGGTGTACAAGAACGACCTATCGAAGCACGACCTATTTGCTCTGTCTCTTCAAAGAAACCATCTTTTCAACCTGAAAAATACGGACACAAAAGTTACCTGGAGAAGAATGGAACTACGTCTAATGATCCCGGACAAAGGTTTCTTTTCATTTGGAACTTCATGGCATTTCAATTGTCTTAGCGTAATGGATGTTTTTTTGGGAAGAGTCCTAAGCAGCTTGTCACGGGCTTTCTGCTAACAATTTTGCTTCCTTTCTATGAGCAGGAAGTTTGTTTTATGCAGTGCTAAAAAACGGAAAAGACTATTTTGGACGCAGGCAGAAGAAGAAATGCTTAGGGTATGAAACTTGCACATTCCTCAATATCCTACGTATATTTCATGCTGCAGTCGTCTTGATCTTTTAGTAATTGGAACTTACTCCTTCTACGGCTTTTTCTGAAGGTTTACACCTGTTTTAGATTTTCAGCTTTATAAGAACTGTCAGGATAGCTGGTTTCATCGTCACCTAAGAGGCTGTATTTCATTTTCAGTCGTAATGCAACTGTTTTGCAGACCAGATTTCAAAAGAAGAGAATATTTCATGGTGTACTCATATCTGAGATAAATAACATTGTTTGTGGCTGTCCAAATTAGAGTCTTGTTATGTAGTGCACAATGGTGATAAATGTGGGTTTGTCTCACTTCGTCCTGTCCTTTAGGTTGGTGTGCAGAAATTCCCCGGCGAGAGGAATATTCCATGGCGCAAAATCTTGGAATTTGGTCGGGATGTGTTTCACGATGAACGGGCTCCAAGCGACCTCAAGGACAAGTGGAAGACGTTGAACAAAATGCCTTCTGACACGGGGAAATGGGTAAACCTTTCAACTGAAAGACAACCGAATTACTATGTGTCTGAAGTTAGTTCTGAATGAGCTATCGGATTTTGCAAGCATTAGAGCTTAGAGGAGTAGTAGATAGAGCTTTGCAGTTTTTGTACAACCTTGTTCATAGTTTGTTAATTGTATATTGTAGCAAAACTAATCTTACCTTTCTAATTTGTATGTCCTCGCCAATGTAGAGAATTTATAAGAGTAAGATGATTTTTCATGACACTTGAACAAAAGTTTATTATACTAAAATCATAAGCAATGCTATACTTCAATAACTATCAAACTTTTACATGTCTTTTAATATGAAATCTCTGCAATTTGCATGACGAAGATGAAAACAGTAAAGATCAATTTTTACACTTCGTGTAAACAAACAACTTTTTTCCAAGTTTTAATAATGAAAAAAAGATCTTTTTAGACGCAAAATTGATGACGGTTGAAATTCCCGCCTGTGCGTGGGTTCCACTATAAGCTCTTTAGCCGCCATGTGTCCTAGGGGAGTGCCACGTACAGCCACCATCATCTACTTTTTAGGCTTATTTCTGTCGGCTTATTCTCTGCTCACTAAGTGGCAAAAACAGAAATGGAAGTTCCCAAAGGTTTCTTTGAGAAACTATGGAGTTTTGTCTCTTTTCTTCCTTACTTCTTCCTCTTGCTGCTTCTCGGCCTCACCAAGGGTATGCAATCATTCTTCCTCTTCTAATCTTCTTCCTTCTGTCCATCCATAAGATTGCAGAGAAAGTCTCAAGTTTTGTTAGGTCCAGAGTTGTTGAATACCTGAATATGACGTTTTGCACTCTTCAGATTAGATTTTGGTATTTGAATTCAGATTAATAATTAGCCTATATTGAGTAATGAGGTTTATTGGTACAAAACCAGAGGAGTATCTAAGCAGAGCACTGTAAGTTTTCACTCTTGTTTTGGTTTTGTTTTTCAGCCCTGATTGTTGGTCCAGTTTCATCTGCTATAATTTTGATTGGGAATTCAACTGTAATCATTGGCCTTTGGCCAGCACATTTCGTTTGGACCTACTACTGTTTGGCAAGGTATATATCCAACAAATTCAATACCTTTCCTTTTGTATTTTATCTCTGTTTCCACTAAAAATCTTCTTTCTGTGTAGAACAAAGAGAATAGGGCTGGTTTTGAAGACCTTGGCATTGATATTGTTTCCACTACCTTTACTCCTCTGGCCAGTTACTGGTATAGTAGGAAGTCTCTTCGGCGGAATCGCCTACGGGTTTTTCACTCCTCTTATGGCTACATTCGAGGCTGTAGGAGAGTCTGTTACTAGCAAATGCTACCATTGCTTTGTTGATGGTTCGTTCTCCACTATTAAAGGGAGTTGTACTGTAGTTACAGACTTCACAGATTTCTGCTTCCATTCTTACTTCTCCTACATGGACGAGTTAAGAGAAATGGTTTCCGCCGATGTTGAACCTTTAGAGATAAGGTAACAATCACTCCGTCTGTGCCCGTTAAAGAAGAACAAAAATTGTTACACTTTACAGTGATGGCGTAATCTCATTTTCTTACCAGGTTGTCTCGGCTACCTAGTTGTCTGCTTGCTAGTCTCATAGGTGTGGTGGTAGATGTTCTTCTGATAACAGCTGTTGCTCTTTACAAAAGCCCATATATGTTGCTCAAAGGATGGAAGAGGCTATTGGAAGACCTTGTTGGTAGAGAGGGCCCATTCCTAGAGACTGTCTGTGTTCCATTTGCAGGTCTTGCCATATTGCTATGGCCACTGGCTGTCGTGGGAGCCGTAATAGCTTCAGTGTTATCCAGTTTCTTTCTTGGACTGTACAGTGGAGTCATCGTTCATCAGGTTCATAGCTAATACATAAAGTCCATTCATATATCTTACAGAGTTGGTTATGGAGAGGTCCTTTCGATTTAAGGCTTCGTTGGATTCTATGTCAAAAGGATTTGAAATTAAACAGAATACTTCTTGAGCTCCTCTGGCTGTGATTTTTTGCTGTGACATAGTTACTGTAGCTTCGACAATAGTTCTGGCTATTTTGGATACTTTATGTTAGTTAAATTACGGCTTAGCCATAAATTTTGTAATTTATGTATCTGCCATGAAAATTCTTAAGACATGTCATCACTTGGACATAAAAATATGTTGCTAGACACTGATAATATATGGTTGGTTAGGAGGTCTCTATCCTTTAATAGTTTGATTATTTTTTCAGGAGGACTCTTTCAGAATGGGGCTTAACTATATAATTGCTGCGGTCTCACTGTATGATGAGTATGTAAATGATTTACTCTATTTGAGAGAAGGAACTCGCCTGCCAAGGTACATAGTGGGAGCTCTGTTCCATTAGTATTTGATCACCATCACATAGACCTTCGGTTTCGTGATTCAGCATTTGTGGATTATAATAACTTATGACTGTAAAGTGTATATGCTTGTGACAGCCAGGCCTTGCTATAGAACGAAAATAGAGACTGGTCATGGGAAAAGAATATTAGTAGAGAGTAAGAACATTGATCTCAAGAGCAAAAGAAGCAGCTCCCTGGCTTCAAAGCTTGTTTCAGAACAGTCGAGGACACTGAAAAAAGCAATAACACTATATAAACCAGTTCAGGTATATTAGACCTTTGTTTTTTCATTTATTTGACTTTACAACATAATCTCTGATGAGTGAATGAACATCTTGTGTTTCTCTTTTAAGGTATGGGAATGGTTGTTTAAGTCGTGTGAGGTGAACGGGAGGATACTTCTTCGCGATGGCTTGATAGATGTGAAGGATGTTGAGGAATGTCTTGTCAAGGGTAATTGTAAGAAGCTCTATATCAAACTACCCGCTTGGACAGTGTTACAATGTCTCCTTGCATCGGCTAAATCGAACTCCTCTGGGTTGGTGATCAGTACGTATACTCAATATCTGTACACAAATCTCGTTAAAACCTTTTTCCCCAGGACGCGAATATTGATTTTCTGGTGAATGTCTGGCAGCTGATGGCGTGGAGCTTACAGAACTAAACAGCCCACGTGACAAAGTATTTGTGTGGCTCATTGGGCCTTTACTGATAATGAAGGAGCAGATAAAGAACCTGAAGCTGACTGCAGATGAAGAGTTTTGTCTAAGGAAATTGGTAATGGTATGCAAAAATGAAAGAACCGAGGACTGGGATAGCACCGGGTTCCCGTCAAGTGATACAGTAAGAAAAGCACAATTGCAAGCCATAATAAGAAGGTATGTTATCAAACATCAGCAGAAGTATTATCTTCTTTGCATCATTAAGTTGACCACATCTTCTTGGAATACTTTTCTCATGTTGTGAATGGGTTCCCATATGTTGACTTAGACCATTCTTCATAGGAAGTGAGGCTTTTTGCAAAGTTTGGGATGATCATGTTCTGTATATACATTCACTGAGGCTAGTCATGTTCTTTCCACAGGCTGCAAGGAATGGTGGCATCAATGTCTAGAATACCGACGTTTCGACGCAGATTCATGAACTTGGTTAAAGTGTTGTACATAGAAGCTCTTGAAATGGGTGTGTCAGGTAATCGAGCTGGTGGGATCCTCAAACCCAACAGCCACCAAACAGGAAATCTGGATCGGACTGAAACACCGGACATGGATGTTGTATAAGTAGTTATGGTATCTTATCTTTTTCCTTCTTCCTACGCCCCAGTCTTTCCTCTGGAAACCGTTATTTCACTGGTATTTTAGGATTTGTTGTATATTAGAAAGTGTTTTTTTTTTCTTCTGTGTTTCTGGTTTGATAGTTAAAATTTTCAACTTGCTCCATATAATTGTTGGTTGGTTTACTTTGGTTTCAAACCGATGACAGTAACTGGCTTTTGATCCATCCAATACAGCTTGTTCTGGTTGTATGCATTATATTAAACCGGTAGCTATAACCAGTAAAAGTAAGCATTTACATCATATCGGACAGCAAAAGTAAAAGTAAGAGCTGCCCATCAGCTCGGGGAAGTGAATCGGAGTGCATAGAGCTAGAATTGACGAGTTAACTAGCTGAGGCAGATACTCAGTAGCTCAGGTCAACTGAATCAACTACTCAAAAGCTCAGCTGGCCGGGGAATTTCTAGCTAAATAACTGTTCGAGTGTGGCGGTTACCACTAGGCCTGGGCATAAAATCCGAAATCCGAAAACCGATCCGAAAAAATCCGGCTCCGAATCCGAACTGAATAGTCACAAAACCTGAACGGATAATGAATTCTCCTATCTGAATTATCCGAACCGAACCGAAAACCGAAAGGATATCCGAAAACCGAATATAAAATTATATATCCAAAAATATTAGTTATATTTAGCTATAATTTTATAACAAATAACAAAAATATCCTAAATAACCTAGATATCGAAAGTTTTTAGTTATATTTGTTAAAATTATATATATTTTTGGAAAAGTTAGCCAAATTTTAGTAAGATTAAAACTATTTTTTATTTAAATTGAACATTTTTTTGGTTTTTTTTTCTCGCAAACTGATCCAAAATTAATCCAAAACCGATCCGAATCCGACACTATCCGAACCGAATCCGATCCGAATAGTCATAAAATCCGAACGGATAATAAAATCTCCTACCCGAATTATCCGAATCCGAATAAATCCGAACCGAATCCGATCCGAAATCCGAATGCCCAGGCCTAGTTACCACACGTGACCGAATGGTGTCAATGAGCGGTTATGTCCGAAAGATCTCCAACGAATAGACGTTTTTGGGGAAAATGGTTAATAGCGGTTTTGATCGAAAAACCCTATAAATAGTCTAGGAAGCACGGAAGCTTCGTCGGAGTTCTGCTTCCCGCTTCAGAATCTTAGTTGGAATCGGAAGCTCTCGGAAGCTTTCGGAATCTTGCTTCCATAGCGTTTCCAAAAAATTCATTTTTGAAGCTTGTTGGAAGCTTACGATTCTATTTTCGAAGTTTGCGCTTCCATTTAAAATTTTTGATGTCACAAAATAAATAAGAAATATGAAATTATTTTTGATAGTTTTTTAATAGGAAAATTTGCAACTGTAACCTAAAAAAATTTATAAATTAACAAACTAACCTACAAAAAAAACCTAACAATATAACATATATATAATATATATTATTACAATTTTATCCTCACCGCTAACACCACTAACCACAATCACAACCACCACCGTCGCCGGAACCACCACCGCCGCCGGAACCACCACCGTCGCCGTCACCGGAACCACCACCGCCGCCGTCACCGGAACCACCACCATCGCCGGAACCACCGTCGCCGGAACTA